TAACTGAGTCACACTGTAAGAAGAATTGTAGGAAGCTAAATATATACAGTATATTGTAGAGCTGGAATTCTTGATAATTAAATCCCAGGGAATAGGGAGAGGGGAGATACTGATTTGTGCAACATTTCCTTGACTTCAGGGCAATTTCTTATTACATTGGACACAAACTGATTATGCCACCAGATTTAGAAAAAGAATGTGCCTTTCACCAATTTGAATCAATTTTGGATATTCTGAAAGCAAGACGCAAACAAGAAATACTAATACTCATATAAATTCTAAGCCCAAAAGACTTTTTTATCCCTATCTCTGCAAACTAGGCACTGTGATATGAATCTAGACAATTGCTACTTCCGTAATGGAAGAATAGTTTAGTATGAGATGGGAATACAGCCAGTAACCTTGATAAAAACTGCAATATTTTCCTCAAGATTCTCCCAAGACTCAAATGTTGTTTCCTACCTAATAACTTTCCAGTTCTGCCTGTTCTGAAACTGCTGGAATTATGCAGATTTAATTCCCAAGTTTGTAGTGGCAGGAAATTATATTTTTATTTCCCCATTTTTAAAAAGGCACTGAATGCTAGGAAATCTAGTTTTCAGAATTTTTGCTGGAACATTTCTATGAACTATGTCCTTTTAAAATTATAATTGTTATGGGATGGGGGGAAGACTAGTGAATGAATCTTTTTTTAAAACCTCCAAATTATGTGAGCGGTGGTTGCGCAGTGGTTAGAGTGCAGTACTGCAGGCTATTTCTGCTGACTTCTGGGTGCCAGAAATTTGGCAGTTCAATTGTGACCAGCTCAAGGTTGACTCAGCCTTCCATCCTTCTGAGGTAAGTAAAATAAGGACCCAGATTGTTGGGGGCAATAGGCTGACTCTGTAAACTATTTAGAGAGGGCTGTAAAGCACTGTGAAGCGGTATATAAGTCTAAGGGCTATAAGTGCAGTGCTATAACCACTGCATTTGTAAATGCCCTCATCACATATGTGTTTAAACCTGTACATTATATTCTGAAAGTGTATTGGTATACTTCATAGTTTATGGCCGTGAGGCGAACCTATGGCATGCGTGCCACAGGTGGCACGTAGAGCCATATCGGTGGGCACGCGAGCGTTGCCCTAGCTCAGCTCCAGTGGGACTGGAAGTCAGGAAACCAGCTGTTTCTGGCCTCCAGAGGGCCTCCAGAGTAGTGGGGAAGGCTGTTTTCACCCTCCCCAGGCTCCTAGAAAGGCTCTGGAGCCTGGGGAGGGCAAAAAATGGGCCTACCAGGCCCACCATGCTATCATGTGCCAAAAGCGGGGGACTGTGTGTGGTGGTCACACCTGCAAGCACAGGGTGGGGCACATTGAATTATGGGTGTGGGCACATGCACACACGACCCTCCCCGCTCCCTCCACTTTTGGCACGTGATGGCAAAAAGATTAGCCACCACTGGTTTATGGGATTGTGATCAACAATGTATTATATTGCACTGTACTTTCTATATTAGCTTGCACAGAATAGCAGTAGCATATATTGGGTAAAACTGGATTGCGGTTGTGCTGCAGTGAATGTGCCAAAATCTGCAACTGATGGGTACTGTCCTTAGTATTTGCAGGAAATTCTGCATGTAGATCAGTAGATAGGACCAAGGCTGTTAGCAGTAGCTCTTAGACTTTTCTAGTGTTTTATAGTGCTTTACAGCCCTCTCTAAGCAGTTAACAAAGTCAACATATTGCCCTCGACAATCTGGGTTCTTATTTTAATGACCTCAGAAGGATGGAAGGCTGAGTCAACCTTGAACCGGTCAGGATCGAACTTCTGGCAGCGAGCAGAGGTTTTTTTTTTTTTTATTTGATTTATATGCTGCCCTTCTCTGGAGACTCAGGGCGGCTTACAATAGCCTTCATACTTTTGTATATTTATACAAAGTCAGCTTATTGCCCCCACAAACTGGGTCCTCAATTTACCTACCTTAGAAAGGATGGAAGGCTGAGTCAACCTTGAGCCTGGTGAGATTCGAACTTACAGTAATTGCAGACAGCTGGTGTTAATCACAATGCTATCAGTCTGCTGAGCCACCAGGCCTATGCAGCCTGCAATACTGCATTCTAACCACTGCGCCACCGTGGTTATTCTACGACTTCTGTGAAAGCCTCAATTGACCAAAGCCATGATGGTTAAAAAAAATATTATCCATAGCAAGGATAATACAAATCGGAAAAATGACCAGGAGGACATTCTAATATAGACTGTAGTGTTTATCAAACATGGGCAAAAAATGGCTGATAAGATATGAAAAATGAGACCTAGTGACCGATAGCCATGCTCTTATTCTAATGGATGATGGCATTATAGATCACAAGTATTTGATTACAATTATCCTAAGATTAAAAGAAAACAAATTGTCCCTTTTCACTTGGCAGTGGTATAAGAAGAAGAAAAGGTGTGTGTGGAGTTTATTAATTCAGCTCTTCATTCAACTTTCCTTTTAATTTAATTTAATTTAATTTAATTTAATTTAATTTAATTTAATTTAATTTAATTTAATTATTTAATTTAATTTAATTTAATTTTTAATTTGATTTATATGCCGCCCTTCTCCGGAGACTCAGGGCGGCTTACAATGTGCTCAGCAATAGCCTTCATCCTTTTATATATTTATACAAAGTCAGCTTATTGCCCCCACAACTGGGTCCTCAATTTACCTACCTTAGAGAGGATGGAAGGCTGAGTCAACCTTGAGCCTTGGCGAGATTCGAACCTGCAGTAATTGCAGGCAGCTGGTCTTAATAACCAGCTTAATAACAGGGTGCCTTAGACCACTGTACTACCAAAGCTTTTGTCAGTGTAACATAGCCCAATTTTAGAAGCACCTTCTACCTCCTTGCAACTTCAACTTTCATCTTGATGGGTGGAAAGCCTGAGCAGTCATCAGTTACTTTAGTGCTTACACTGGAAGTAAATTAGTTCACAGATCCTATTTTAATCCTTCTTGAGTAGAAACAATTAGACACAAAATGCAGGATTATAAATTGGATTCTTCCTATTGTGCCTAGACTAGGGGTCAGCAACCCATGGCTCTGGAGCCGCATGTGGCTCTTTCATTTCTCTGCTGCGACTCCCTGTCGCTCAAAAGATGCATCACCAACTGCCAACATGCGATACCTGCCGGCATGTGATTTATTGAGCTTTTCAACCCATGGTAGGCCAACCATGGATAAATCCAAGAAAAGAAAAGTTTCAGAAGAAAACAGAATGTTTAATTCAGCTATATATGCTAGTTTTGTGGCCGCTCAGGAAATAGTCAGGCACAGGAAGGGTTTTGTGGCTCCCGGTGTTTTCTTTTCTTTGGGAAACGGGTCCAAATGGTTCTTTCAGTGTTTAAGGTTGCCAACCAATGGCCTAGACTATAACGGAACAGAAGATAATAACAGAGTTGTAAGGGACCTTGGAGTTCTTCTAATCCAAGTCCCTGCTCAAGCAGGAAACTCTATACCAGGGGTGTCAAACTCAACTTCATTGAGGGCTGCATCATGGTTGTATTTGACCTGGGGGTTGGGGGGCATGGCCAGAGTGGATGTGGCCACCAGGACGTTACTTGTGTTGGCGGTGCCTGTGGTGGTCCGAGAGCTCTGCCAGAGAAAACGGGCTCCTGAGCTCCATTTTCAGCTGCAACGGCCTCCTGCAGCCCTCTGCCAGTGAAAACGGAGCTCGGGAGGGCCGCACACACCTCTCCCTAGCTCCATTTTCACTGGCAGAGGCACTACAGGCCAGTCCTTTGTTGTTTCCAGGGTGGTGTCGAGGGTCAAACAACCACTCGACACAATATCCTGGGGAATATGAAACATCTGAACATGAGCATCTGTGCAGATCCAGAATGAGATGGAACAGACCCGGAAGAACACACACGGTGGAGGGGGTGTTATAGTGTGTAGGATGGCACAGTGATATTAGGTGATGGACGGTATAAGGGAAAAGGGGTGGGGGGAATAAATCCATCAACGGCAAACAGATCCCAGTGACAGGAGAAGATAGTAAAAACCCGGAAGTAAGGGTGACCTGTAGGTAGCCAGAATGGGATAAGCAGCGCGGTTACTTTAAATTTGTAATAGAGCAAAGGAGGGGCGCTTGAAGGGCGTTCTATAAAGCCGGAGGCATGGGAGAAACAGCCGTCTCCGACTTTGCTTCTCACCAAAGAACTTCAGCACTTACTGTTTGACCATCGTGTAAGCTATGATTAAACCGGATAGATTCCTCTTCTGAGCGTGAGTGTGTGTGTTTATCCGGTGCAGCACAGGTGGTTCCAAGTGGGGCTGACAGAAAGTCGGAGACCCTTTTTCTTTTCTTGTACTGAGGATGGGAGCAGCTGACAGGTGGCCCCACAGGCCAGATCTAAGCACCCCGTGGGCCGGATCCAGCCCGTGGACCTTGAGTTTGACACCCCTGCTCTATACCATTCCAGACAAATGGCTGTCCAGGTCTCTTCTTAAAAGCCTCCAGTGATGGAGCACCCACACCTTCTGAAAGCAAGCCATTCCACTGGTTAATTGTTCTCAACCTCCTCAAGATGCTTTTTTATTTGCATATTGAAAGATAAATGATTGGAATTTATTTATTTTATTAAATAAAAGAAATGATTTCCAATTACTATGGAGAATTTTTTTTTTTTTTGAACTCCATTACGAAAAATCTGACACACTGCAACACCCATACAGATTATAACGGGTTGTCCATTTTATTGATCTGTTTAAAATTAAATGTGCTCTAATTACTGTCCTACTTTATTTTCATCTTATCGTGGTAATTATAGTTACAATATCTTAGTTCAGTTTGGAAATGTTACAAAGAACTAAAGCAGAAAACGTTAGGAATTCAATTAATTTCAGTAATATTTAATTGAATCCCCTTTTATTTGGACGTTATCTAATGGCTAGAATTAATTAGGTAATTAAAGTTACATACACGCACTTGCCCACTATATGTTCTCAGTCAGTGGTTAGGAATCTCCTTACCTTTAATACCAGTTCTCCAATCAGTCCATTCCAAGTCCCATTCTCCAGTGGAAGTCCGTATTTTTGATCTGGTGCAACATAAATTTCATATGTGAAGCCAAGATAAGTAGATAAAGATTCCAGGACATCAATGGAGAAACCCTGATATTTCTTTGGTTTGCCCAGAACATTTTCTGACACCATCACAAATGGTTCCTCCTATACAGAGAGAGAGAGAGAGGAAAAAAAAGAGTGACACTTAGGACATAGGAAATTCATATTTTCAAATATTTTTTCACTATTCTTTACCCCAATTTTCTCCTTTCTTTTCCTTTTTAAACTTGTAGAACTTTGAGTGCTTATTGATAGATTCTGGGGCTTCAAAGTTGACAATCATGGGCTATTATTTCTATTTTATGTAGCACAGAAGAGGTGTCCGGTTACAAATTGTAAGGCAGCTCAAGTCTAGAGTTAGAATGAACTACTGGTACTCCATTCTTGATGGTCAAATAACAGTACTTCAAATGAGTAGCAATGTGTTTTACTGGATCCCATTAAAAATAAATTTTTTAATAGTTTGCAGTTTACAGTCTAATTTTCTTGGAAAGCATGTATAGAATGGAATGGAATGGAATGGAATGGAATGTAGAATAGAATAGAATAGAATAGAATAGAATAGAATAGAATAGAATAACAGAGTTGGAAGGGACCTTGGAGGTCTTCTAGTCCAACTCCCTGCTTAGGCAGGAAACCCTACACCACTTCAGACAAATGGTTATCCAACATCTTCTTAAAAACTTCCAGTGTTGGAGCATTCACAACTTCTGGAGGCAAGTTGTTCCACTGATTAATTGTTCTAACTGTCAGGAAATTTCTCCTTAGTTCTAAGTTGCTTCTCTCCTTGATTAGTTTCCACCCATTGCTTCTTGTCCTGCCCTCAGGTGCTTTGGAGAATAGCTTGACTCCCTCTTCTTTGTGGCAGCCCCTGAGATATTGGAACACTGCTATTATGTGTCCCTTAGTCCTTCCTTTTGTTTCATAATATACAGTCAAAGAGTATGGCACTATGCATTGTAGGCATCCAACTATGGCCCATTACACTGAAGTATATATTCCAATTCTCTGGAGTGGGGTTGTTATGAAGAAGTATGCACGTCTGGACAAAGAAAATCAGAATACATTTATTTACATGAAAATGGAACTATATATCCTCTTTCAGAGCCTCTTTAATGCATACCATTGGAATTATATAAGTGACAAGAGTTGGTGAAGAATACTCCTGTACTAATTCATGACCAGCCTTACTCTGCTATATATTGAAGGTACAGTTATGTTATTATTATGCAGCCCTGCTGGATCAAGCCCAAGACTTATGTACAGCAAGATACCACAATAATAAAATAAATGCATCTGGAAAAAGCATAGGCTTGCAGATAAGTGCAACAATTCCTGTTGTCCACTAGGAATTGATATTTAAGCTATGCTGCCTACAATTCAGTACCTAGAACTGGTAGCCATTTTTTTTTAAAAAAAATGATTTATATGCCGCCCTTCTCCGGAGACTCAGGGCGGCTTACAATGTGCTAAGCAATAGCCTTCATCCTTTTGTATATTTATACAAAGTCAGCTTATTGCCCCACAAACTGGGTCCTCAATTTACCTACCTTAGAAAGGATGGAAGGCTGAGTCAACCTTGAGCCTGGCGAGATTCGAACCTGCAGTAATTGCAGGCAGCTGGTCTTAATAACAGGGTGCTTTAGACCACTGTACTACCAAGGCTCTCATTGACAGGTCTATTTTCCATTAATTTATCAATCAATCAATCAAGTATCAATATATTAATATTTAATTAGCAATAATTTATTAATTAATGGCTACCAATTTAAAGACTTATTTATTAGCCATATCCTCCTTTAATTTATATCATCTTCATTTAATATAATCTACCATGTTTTCCCAAAAAATAAAGACCTGGTCTTATTTTCTTTTGGGCCCAAAAATAAGCCCCAGGTCTTATTTTCGGGGGATGTCTTACCCACTTACCTTAAGACCACCACAGCCAGGCCTCCCACGACCTAACACCTATTGTGCCACGGCCTGATTTCTTTAGCTACTTGCAGTTGCTTGCAACAGGGCACCACGTAGCTCATTGTGCCAGTGCCACCACTCACAGCAGGAGGCCACGTGGCACATTGCACCAGTGCTGCCACTCATGGCAGGAGGCTGCTTGGTGTGTTGAGGCTGCATTGTGCGTGTAAGTGGTGTGATGTGCTACATGGCCTCCTGCCATGAGTGGCTGCACTGGCACAATGCGCCGCATGCCATCCTGCCATAAGTGGCAGCATCGGTGTGATGTGCCATGTAGCGTCTGGTCGTGAGTGGCTGCAGAAGAAGTCAGGCATTGGTGTGGCAGGTGTTGGAGTGTGGGAGGCCTGGTTGCAGCGGTCCTAAGGTAAGCGGGTGTGGGGTGAATATGAATTTTATCCATATGCCTTGCCCCAGAGCCATATGCGCCAGCCAGAGGGACGGAATGGGTGGCGTCATAACTAGGCCTTATTTTGGGGGTAGGGCTTATATTAGGCACACATATAACAATCAAGCAAGGGCTTATTTTGGGGATAGGTCTTATTTTTGGGGAAACACTGTACTGGAGGCTTTTATACATTTCAGGACAATGAGTTAAATAAAAATGAGTTCCCTTTATTGAAGCTACATCTTTCCACATGAATAATTCTAATTTCGTGAGAATGGAGAACTTTCTTCTCTCTTACTTTCACATCATAATAATGTCCATAAGCTGTTTTCCCTCAACTGCATTCTCTTTAAACAAAGATCCCCAATACTATAGGGGTCTGTATGAGTAGATGAACTGCTTTAGACCCTTAATCGTTGTTGATGCACAATATCTTCCTTCCTGTATTGTATCCACTTCGAGATGTATAATTTATATTGGCAACTTTATTGTTATTGATCCTTTTCAATAACTGCTAACATGGAATTTCCGTTTGTGAAATCATCAACTGTAGAGGTTGTCCATACTGAGCACAAAGTTAGAAGCTGTGTTCCAGGAATCCCTCTACTACACAGCTTGTATCACAGTTTGCTGAGTAGTTAATCTACCTATGCTTAGGGAACTTCTTTCAAGGCTACCTTGCAGGGACTCATCTTAATTATATCTTAACTTCTATAGCTGACAAACCACAGCTTCTGCTATAATAATTAAGAACACTTTTCACATTATTCAGTAGGTCTCTGCATGCATTGAATTGTTCATCTTGCAATGTTCAGTTTTTATATTTCTATTTCTAGCTTCCACGTTCAGAATTATTGCTTAGATCTATTTTCAGTAGAGCTGTGACTGTTGTTGGGACAACTCAACAACACTTAATCCAAGGAATTTTATCATTCTGAAGACATTATTCCAGAAAAGCATGCAATGATCACCCAGCTATATTTTAAATCACATATGTGATACAATCTCAACAGGATTTAGGGAACTAAAATTTCCACACTTGGTTTTATACAGAGAGTACACAGTCAAATGACTGATAAGAGTTACTGCAACGCTGAACAGCAAGCATATTACATATAAACACATTTTGATTTAGAACAGATAAAAAGTTAGCTTATTTTCCTGTTCAATAAATCTGATATGCTGCAGTTAATAACAGTATTTACACAGAGAGAGAGAGAGAGAGAAAGAGAGAGAGAGAAAAAAAAACCACACACAATCATTTACCAATTTGATGCATTATGTACAGCATTCCTTAAATCTGTTTAGAAAAAGAGTGATTCAAATGATATTCTTCACATAAGGAAAAAACTTATTCATATCTCCTTTGTTGGGATATTAGATACTAACAATTAATAGTTCAGAATTTGAATTCAGGAAGTTAAAAGTGATCACTAATTGCTCCTCTGTTTTTTTAAAAGGCTTTTTGAAAAGGCTTGTACACCTTCGCTGCTTATGCTCAACTTTCAGGAAACCAAGGACAAAAGTAGGCAGGTGAAGAACTTAGAGATAACTTCTTCTCCACAACAGCTAGCCACAAATTAAAGATCCCCAAACTGTTAGGGTGTTAACATTTTGCTCAAGCATGAAATAGACAACTTTTCAACTCTTCAGCTGATTTATGATGTTTCATTTTTCAGAGCATCCAAATGTTCACTACAGATGTTAAGCTCCAGGGGAAGTACACATTGCAGAATTTTTTTGTGCTTGGAAACTTGCAAAGAATGCTCATTAATGTGGTCATTTCTGTAATGACCAAATATCTCTATTGAAAAATCCATATCTTAAGGCTCTCATACAATCTGTCCATAGTTAGAAATGAAGGGTAAATTCAGAAAAAAAGGAAAGAACAATTCTGGAAAAAGTTTCTCAAGTTAGGATGCAGTAACAAGAGTTATTCTGTAAAATTTTATACACATAAATGAGAAACCAGACATAAACAAACATGTTTCCTTCCTTCCTTCCTTCCTTCCTTCCTTCCTTCCTTCCTTCCTTCCTTCCTTCCTCCCTCCCTCCCTCCCTCCCTCCCTCTATCAGCTGAAGTCAACTCTTATGTCACAATATGCCTATGTATTTGCCTTAGCATTTTTTCCTTGATTTTCTGCAAATGATTAAGAGAATTACATTAGTGACCACTGAATTCATGCAGAGAATTCTAAATATCTCAGGTCACGCCAATTTGGAAAACATCCTGCACATCTTTCTTTGCTACCTGAGCTTTAACTTATAGGCTTCTTCCCCAGTTTTCTCAAATCCAGAAGATAATGGTTCTATAACTAACATATTTTATCAATTATGAGGCTTCAAAGAAGTCAGGGACTCTGTGTATCCAAGGGTAATAACAGTCTGAGATGGAGCAGCTATTAATCTGCAGAGGTGGTATTCAGCTGGTTCAGACCGGTTTGCTTGAACTGGTAGCAGAAATTGTGAGTGCATCCGCCCACCTACCCCGGCTCTATGCCATCCTATTTAGTCACGTTTTTTTAACCACACGCATGCATGTAAGCCACACACGTGAGCAAAGCGTATGCATGGAAGGCCTTGCACATTGGGTGGACGAGGTGCGTTCGAGCAAAGTAAGCGCATGGACGAGGCGTGTCCGAGCGAAACAAGCACGCTCGCACTCACATTTGCGAACCGGTAGGGAAGGTAAGTGAATACCACCCCTGTTAATCTGGTCTTGCAAAGCTTCCAATATCCATAGGTA